CTCATCTATAACTCCATCAAAGCCAAGGCTTCGGCAACAAAATGCAGCACGTTAGTTTTTAGCTGCATTTTATTAATCATCTATCTACTCACACACAGTCACGCCTCGTAAGTTATTAGATCTAATCATAAATGAAAGCTTCGAAAGGAAGGAAAGTACCTAACAATAAGTAAAAGGCGCATCGTGTTAAACTAAGCCCTACTACTGCAAAATGTAGCATGTATGTATTTAATCCGCTTTGTCAGGTGCCGTCGCCAGTCTCTTCACATTAGGACCATTTAGGCTAACTGACCACGTTACTTCCAGAGCAACACACAAGTAGATAACCAAAATTGATAATTATATACCTTCGGTTTCTCAACCATGTTTGCCAAATACGTCTTCGTCTGTCATACCAGAAAAGCGTGTTCATCATTCTAAATTTCGGGACTGTTTTGCGTGCAACGTATCAAAACCGCTGATGTGAAACAGCTGCACCCAAGTTGTCCTAACTTAACGGAGCTACTTTTATTCCTCATCAAGACAACTTATTTGGGAACAGGCTAGCCGTGAAACCATCTGTTTATGCCACAACTTGTCCCGCTGCTGCCTAGGGGAATAAGCTTGTGCTTGCGCGAGGCTCATGGATAGGTACTGGTCAAAAATTGAAACCTACGATTTGTTTAATACCGTATCCGCAATCATTTCTCATGCGGTTTCAATCCATTTTGCGTGAGAGGATTGTTAAACAGCTAAATCAGTGTTCAGGAGTAATGTGTTTTGGAAAGTACTTGTGTCAAGCTCGTGTTGCTGGTGAGATGAAACAAACAACACAAGCGAAATGAGCGAATTCAGATTTAGTGAAGACAGTTCGCTTATTTACTTACATTGTGTGCGACTGATCCCTTTACAGTTCAGTTAGCGCTACGTACTGGTATGTCTAGTATGAACTGTTTTTCATGACAAACAAAACGATTGACAAGTACTGTCGATGCTGCCTAGAAGCAGTACTTCTCAGGGTGAATAGTTTGTGTATTGTTTTATTGGTCCCCTGATGGTGGCCAAAGAGCTGTGACACATTTCACCCATACCAAACTGCAGCGGCGAAGAATTACAGCCCAGATCATCACTATAAAGCAAAGCCACGGGTGTTCCGACCCATTTTCTTCGAAGGTCATAAACGAAGCTTGGTCCTGGGTATTTTAACTCAGCTCTCAGATGTAACGCATGAATCTGAGTTTGGAAATAACTAGCAAATAGGTCATGCATTAGATCACACGATACAAATAAGCTTATCAGTCTTAACAAAGTATACGAACTTCCAATTGACGTCCTGTTAGGTGCGTTCGGACTATCCAACAAAACTACTCAAGATGCAGCAGACAATCACATTGAGACTTGTGAGAACAAACGTACAAAACGGACTCGGGTATCGGTCAAACGCCTTAGCATGGACTCTACAAAACACCTCACTGTTAATGGACCCCTGTGACATTCAGCGTCCTGCCACGACAAACATACTTGTGCTTGACCTTACCCGTCACTCACTGTCGATTCGGGTTTGAGTCATACTTGCTAAGCTAGATACAACTCACATATCAGTCAGACAGCTCAGTGGCCGATTAGCAGTTACAAAACAGAGCTTAACTCACTATCCGTTCGGCCTACTGTCACACGAAGCAGGGCTGACCAGTTTTGTACTACTTATTTGATCCCAGAGAGCGAATGATGACTACCGATTATTAGACTAACCAGGGAGGCCTCCCATTTTGAGGTGAATGTACGGATTTCGTGGGTGAACGGATGGCTAACCGTTTGAACAGATTGTGGCTCGATAATGTGCGCAGCGTTGTGTTGAATGAAGCTGTGAATCCTTTGGGTCTTGATTCGACACATCGAAACACCTCCAATTTTTTGCCGATGTATCTTATAACTGACAAATCATTTCAGAGACTTAGCAATCAATTGGTGGGTCCATCACCAATCCTCTGAAAGGACTACTGCTCAATCGGTTAAAAACTTTCCGATCAATGTTGGGACACATTTTTATCATTTAAAGTCATCGTAAATCGAAAAGATACCTTACTCCACATATACTTATTAATATTATATAACTACTGAGAGGTTCTCACATGAACCAGATAGGCAGAGCATCAGGGGTCTGTTTAGGCTGTAGAACTGGCTTTTCGACTGGTCACTGAGCGTCAACACATTCTATAGTGTGATTAGAAAAAAATGATATCGCAACTGGTCTTTTCCACTATACGAGTGAGACAAGATTAACTTGTTGACTGAACCCCAAATACTATTTCAGAGGGTCTCTAAACGCGAACTCAGGTTGGGGCAAGGGGTCGAACCATTTACTCAGTTGAACAGCAGCCCATGACAGCAGAACCATGAAAACAATGGGCAAATAATCACGTGTTGTCCGAAAGCTGGTGGTGATATAAGATAGACTGTTGACTGTGCTTGCTCATTGCTACTCAATGCCATGCAAACGCATTTCAATGAATACTGACGGAGATAAACATCGCCTGTCAATAAAAATAGGTGGGTGTCGAAAAAAGTTCGTTTTATGGTTGTTGTTCAGAACAGATGGGACAACAAAGGCTCTGTACCCATTGTTGAAATGTGGAAGGCGTTGTTGACGGAAATTTTCTTCTTTCTGGGCCAACATCATTCATAGCAAAAACGCTGACCAGAGAACAATGAGATCACAAAGTAGGCCAAAACTAGTCTGTGCCTTCGTCATCACTGGAAGTCCTTCGCAGGGCGGAAACAAAGCTGCAAACATCATATTAGAAGACAAGCGCTTATTGAACCAAAATGGCCACGGACATGCGCGAACAGCGGTTGCGCAATCTATGTGGCCTATCATGTCAGCAGTGGCAGTTGTGCGTTCGATTTCGTGTACACGGCACGTGTCGCGTGAAACCACCCGAGGTGACGACTTGCATTCATTCATGCTTCACTGCGGTGGCGAAGTAAATGTTCAAACGAGGTTGGAAACGGCCATGTACAGGACAAACTAAACAACTTAATTTGTAATGACAAGCAAGGCGATGAACCGATATTACTGGTCAGTCAGACATAGTTCTTCAAGAGATCAGCTCCTGCAAGTTTAACCCTCCTTAACAATCGAAAACCAAGTTGACTCGCCTAGTCCTGGGCGCCTCAAGTGTACGCGCACGTCAGAATGTGGATCACTAGTTTACCAACCAGGTTTGTCAGTTGTCAACGTTTCCAGGGCGTTGAAGCCTTGTTGGCCTGTCGCAATGAGTATGTGCTGTTCTGAGAAATGAGCCTCACGTCGTTGGACCCTTGATTTGTGGTCAGGACAGCTGTTTTGAGTTACGGCTGCTTCTAAGGAACACATGGGTGAAAAACAATAGAACTATTTGTTTTTGGTTTTCAAGATTCAGGACCATACTGTGCAATAATCCTTTTTTCTCTAAAAATGAATATGGATGCAGGAGTTCCATCGTCCAATCACGAAGGAAAAGTCCGCTAAGGTTATTCACTATGTAATCGCAGTGGGACGATACGTGGTCACGGTTGACTGCAGTTTATTGGTTCGCAGAATTGAGACTAAATGGCTGACTCATTGGAGAGACCTACATTCGGCGGTCGAGAGCCTTATTTCGTTCACTTCGACCTCAGTCTCGGGATATCATCAGGAACCTCATTTGGTAGACATCTACCGGTTTCGTGCATACCCTTATCAGCGTACTTTTCGAATTGGAGCGGTGGTCTAACGAAACTAAATCTACGATCGTCACCAAACTCTAACGAAGACTGAGTTAGGCAACTAGAATGTTATGGCCTCTGTTCAGTATACTTCGGGAATCCAAAACGGGCCAATCCGAAAACGAGAATATCGCGTTGGGAGATAGACCAGTTGGTACTTCACTAGCGTGTGAACGGCGAAGTCAAAAAGCATAAATTTAAATTAAGCTGAGTTGGTTGACACATCAGCCAAGGTAAAGTGATAAACGGATTATATAAATACATGCCTGAACACTACTACAGTAGTAGCTTCAAGCGTAGGATGAGACATACCGAAAAATTCCGATTTTGGGGGAAGATCACCACACTTTCAGTATGCTCTCGAACTTCTTCAAACCAGTACAAAAGTCGATTATGATATCACTATTTATCAGTATCTGCTCATTTAGACAATGCATCCTCTGCCGATTTTGGAGAACGAATCATGCCAGTCACCTTCCTTTCACATAAGAGTAATATTCATACACATTTCGCAAACCAGTGCAAAAACACTTTCTTTGCTAAAAGCCCGATGTGATTTAGATGTTTTAGCATTACTCATTGTCAGCGCCTACTGAAAACAAGATCGACTCTTCTACTTGGGTCATCCTTCACGTCTAAAAACTTTATCCTGAAGAGGCACAACGCCAATCCTATAATCCTGGTCGCTTACTGGGCGACCAAGCAAGTGGGCACAGAAATAGTGACACGCGAATGCTAAAGGCCATAAAACGATAACAGTGAGCACACGTCTCTAATGCTAATTTTCCTTCTTCTCCACAACCCTGATGCCCGAAATGGGTAGTGTAATTTGGCTCCCTTCACTTGATCTATCAAAAGTGCACATAACATGACATCACTCTGTCATTCAACAATTCACCAGCCCGCAGTAGGTAGCTGTACGCTGCTCAAATTCTGGCCGGCGAAGTAACTCACGATCAACCATACAAACCTTAGCTACAGATATGAGTCTGTTCCTATTCTTCATATTCACGTTACTCTGTTTGTGTCTCAAATTCCACCGTTGAGCAGATTACCTGATTGTCCACAGAAACGTTAAGGCTCACCATTGAGCAGTGGCGGAGCTGCAGCATCTACGAGCCCGGCGATCGAGTTTATGCTTCCCTTGATAATATCTTGTGGAAACCTTTAAGCATGCAACTCGTGGGTAAGAAATATCCACTGAAAAATCACAATGAGCCAAGATTGATTTACAAATAAAACTGCACTTATATCTGGCACAGCCATGAACACAGCGACTCATCATCCTGCATACATATGCGCGGGAAGTGCAACACGGGGAAAGGATCAAACATGAGGGCGGTGTCAGTAGACAGGCGAGAGAGAGAGTAACAGATTTGACTCTCGGGAATGCATCACTAGTGACAAGCGAAAACGACAGTCGCCAGAAAGTCGTAGTGAGAAGTCACGGGCAGAAGGGAAAGGCAAGGAGCAGCAATTAACGACGAACCAGGTTAAATAGGAAACGGGATGAGTAACTGTACAAAGGCGTCGTGCTCAGCTGGCCCAAAACTGGTCCGTTATTACGACCTCTACCAACTGAATGTGCTTCAAATTATTCGCAATGGACAAAAATAAGGCAAGGTTTAATAAAAAAAAAGGTGCTGTACACGAAGAGGACATTCAGCTAGAGAAATCAAGTAGTCACATGATTCACCGTAGATGTTACGGGTTTCTCCATGCTGGAAGATGCGGTCGTAGAACTGCTGAACTCAGGAACCTTCACAACCGTCGTGCCTTCGTGTCGACAGACAACGCACATGAATGAGTTATCGCACACCACTGCGCCTTCACTGCAAGAACCGTTCCAATGAACCCAACGATTGCAAAAGTCACAATGTACCCAGTCAACAACCTGAAGGAAAGTAACAGATCAGTGCACAAATAACCTCACTTAAAGAATATATGAGTCAGTCACCAAACTCTAAATTAGTGTGAGCCAATTTACAGTAGTCAGGCGATAAAACAGTGAGAAGATTGAATGAGAAAATCACGAGGCAGTGTGAAACCAAACAACAGGAAGTGCCGTGAACGGCCGGTGTTTTATGGCTCAACGGCATTGACAAGTGAAGACGAGGTGCTTGGTCCTATTGAAAAGAGTAGCGTCAAATGATTGGTTACTGGGTCCAGCAGTGCGGCACAATTACGAAGACAGACGCAATAAAACGGTAATGCAACTACTAGGGGATTTTGCACCCGCACATTTTTCATGTTAAGATGCCTTGATGTTTTTTTATGCGGTGTCTCGATATGTCTTGGCAAGAATCCTGGTGCCTTGATAGAAATCCAAAGATAATTAGATGTGACACTAAAACGTTCTTAGGGGTGGGAACGCTTCGGATTTCATGCCACATGATGGATACGACCTGTTTTGAGACCTAACTTCACGTCTAGTCAGCTTCGGGTGGTTTTACAAACCTAGCGTTCTCGGAACGATATAAGGATGTCCTAATAGGAAAAAAACTAAATTCACAGTGTTGGTAGACTCATGAGGAAAGACCAGTTGTTCGCTGGATGGTAAGATTCGCCAGGATGAGGCACCGAAAGACCCGCTATAGCGACAATTTGTAAGGGGAGTTGACATGAGATAGCTCAAACTAATAACATTTTCACGAGTTATTTATTTGACTGAGTAAGTTCACAGTCACTGTACCTGAAGGTCATCAGAGCCCTCGAGGTCTGAACTTGGTCGGCAAGCGGACTCTGGTGGTTCTAGTTGTCCACACACGACACAGGAATCCGGCGCTTCACCATCTTCGATCTCGTCCAAAAATTCAGGTGGTTCTGACATCCCGTGTTCAGCACCCGAATGTAGCTGTGCAAACACTGCTGACTGGGACTGGGACGAGTCGAAGCCGACTTCCTCCTCGTGAGCGATATCTACATCCGAATGAGTGATACTGTCCTGTTTAGAGAAAAGTAAGTGAGAGTTGAATGAAGCAGAAATGAAGTTAACAGAGAAAGTTCACTGAATCTTCTTTTGCGATTCATCTTAAAACTCTGTGCTTATCAATACTATCGATCGTAATGAACCATGTGCCATTGTAAAGATGACGCCTTCAGTCACGCATCACTTAAATAAAGAGTATTGGAGGGTTGGAGAGATTTACATGCAAGCACATGCATGACTTCATAATCCAAGAGAAGTGACAAGCGTGCTCAAGCAACCCACGATTAATGCACGGGTAGTACACCACAGACCAAGAGTGAATGAAAGCATAGTTATATGGGGTCCTAATAAAAATTGGTGAGTTGTGTTTTAAACCGAGAGGGTTGTGTAATTTGCTACGAGTTTTGGTCTTGAGATCTACTTGGCAACCCGAAAAATTAAAAAACCGTAGAAAAGAACTTGTGCTGGAGTAAACGAAAACGAGTAGGTGGTCTGGGCTACTCACTTCATGCTTGGAAGACACCACCGCGTTCACCCTGGGCGTTATTACTATTGGATTGGTATTTGAGGTTGTCGACACAGACTCAACAGATCCTGGTCGTACAACAGGTTGGCCTATGGTTGTTGCTGTGCCATGTAACCGGATCATCACAGATCGTCCAGGAGGGCCAATTCGAGTGGCTACCGAGGGGTCAGGCTTGAGGACTTCAATGGAGGGGATGGATGAGCCAGATTGGGTAGCACCTGGAAAGTGTCGTAAGCATAAGAGTCCAGTAAATGAGTACGCTGGAACCATTGAAGGACTAAAGCACACACAAACTCGAACGGACCCTCACCTTGTGTAAGAGGGTACACCGCTCCGATGGACGCGACTGAATGGCCGACACCACGGAAAGTGTTCAGAGGACGTTCTTTCAAATCGCCATTGGTCAAAACCGTCGGGGGATACGGTAGATGATGTGCGTAAGTGGGAACCACACTGCCCGGGAGTTTGGCCCATGCGGCTGGGTGACCATAGTTTTCACAACCCATGTGAGGATCGATATTTTCGCCGGACACGCTGGTCTGATCGTAGTCCTCTGTCTGCAACGTTGCAAAGGTGGCCGTGGAAGTGCGAAGCGACAGTATGCTAATATGGGATCGTAGGGTACGCCCACTAAGTGTACTTCAATGTAAATATCAAGTTGCGCTGACTTATTTCTACTATTTCCACCATTGCTAAACTAGGAAATTTCAAGATTTCCTCATAACTTAAGGACTATAAAGTGACCTATCAAAAAGAGAGAAGATCCCGGGTAACAGAGAACACCCACTTGAGAAGTCTTCACCCGAGGGGCCAGTCAACTCAGGCTACGTGACGTAAACTGAATGAATAAAGGATGATGGCGCCAAATCTCGCCCAAGTTTGAGTAAATTATACTGCTGATCAGTAGTCGAATGGCAAAGTTCTAAACGGAATGTCGCGAGACCGAATCGCTTAGGAGATTCATGAGATGCATACTGCTGATAATTCCCAATAAGGATGGTTCTCGACATTTCAGCACAGACTGGCTTCATTCACAGTATAAAATATTCGTTTACACTTCTGAATATCAGAAAACTTTAAAATAACTGAAACCAATCGCAGTCAGTGAGTATCACTCTTAAACCGAATCACAATACATATGAGAGGGATCATGCCTTCGAATTTGATCCATCAGTAGTATACACCTCTAGTGCTCTTTGACAGTTAAGGCAGGGGAGCTTAAGGAGTGCTGTGATGAAGGCAATGTCTTTGATTTGCGAGCTCTCTGATAAGGTGCCTTCTTTGTCATCGGTCCTCACTTGATGCCGAGCCCCCATTAGTGGCTCCCAAAATCATTTGACATGGACTCAGGCTCCAATCCGGCATGCTGCTTCGAGAGGTGGACTAAACTTAGTGCATAACTGCTATGGTAGGCCATCATCCGTTCCCGGATTAGACTGTCACATCGAACGAAGCTGATGGACCATCACGCGCAATAGGTACTGTCAAAAACGGCTTGCACTGAGCCGCATGTTAGGCCAACTAAACTCGCCGTACGCGGTTTAAATGCGAAGGAATAAGATAGCAGAGCAAGCAGGAGAACAGTTTTAGTCACTAGCATACTCGACCAGGGGCTCACAACTGTCGCGTCAAACGGGCGGGGGTGGAAACTGAGTGGCCTACACCACTCGTAAGATGCTTGCTATACACACAAACGCAACTAACTGGCTACTGCTAGCTAGTATTCAGCTTGGACTGTAAAAGAGTCACATAATTACCTATTACATCATCGCAGGCTAAACACTTCGGAACTTTAACGTGCGTTGAGGAGAAAAATTAGCCCATTTGACGGAATGCAAATCAATGCTATGAGAGGATTCACGTAAAATAGAAAATAAAAGATAGAGATGAAACAAACGGGCAAACTGGTAACCCGAAATCGGGGGGTCGCTTCGATACTGCCAGGCCACCCAAGCCTACACACGGGAGCAATCGAAAAGCCTGGAGTCGGTTCGCACCATGGATCTCCGGATCAGTAGCTCACGGCAAAACCATTAAATTGTCCTGAGCTCACAAATAGCAAGTACAACAGAGCAAATAATTGGTTGCAAGGTTCCTAGAACAAGATATGCTCATTAAAAAACGAGTTCTGCTAACCACAGAGGACAAGCTTTCACATTCAACGTACAATTTAATGTTCAGATGGGAGACTATATTGATGAAGATTTAAAGAATGAGCCTGCCTTACCAGCCCAAAGAAGTACAAAACCGATAATGGGGTGTTGAAGTTTCCACCAACCCTATAAGTAGTGTTATATCAAAGAGTCTTCACACTATTTACTGGGGACGTAAAACAGGTACAGATTGTGCTGATAATGGCATACCGTAACTCAAAGTGTACTGGGTTACCTATCCAGAGCACATCTTAAAGTCAACGGTGGTTAACCAAAAAAAAGACGTAGATGAAAATAACCATCAGAAAGCTAGCCTGACCAAGGTTTCATTCCATGGGGTGTGCGCTCTTATGGGACTGATTACATTGATTGTTGGAGGTCTCTTATGGAGCAGTCCACTGCCTGGCTTACACTCAAAGTCCAGCACTTCACTGCAGTCTTAATGACTCATCTGCTTGCAACCTAAACTCTGGCTTGTGCGAGCTTCCACTCGAGGGTAAAGGTCCGTCGTTCGAGTCCGTTCTTGACTTTCTGATGGTTCTTGCCTGGGCTAGCATTGTAGTACCTTAACCCTAATGCTTCCTTCGGGATGCATTAAAAATGTGTCACGGTTGCATGATTCTTTATTTAGATCTGCAAGGATAGTCAAAGAGAAATATCATTTTCCAAGACCAGTTAAACTAAGTGAGACCGCCTCAACGACAAGATAAGGTTCAAACGGAGATAAAACATGTAGGTACACGCAGGTACTTTTCTCACTCCATTGCTCGAAAGTTGCTCTTAGCTGTGCAAAGGATACAGGCGTATCCCTAAAATGGCTGACTAGTCCTGAAAAAAACAGGCCGTATCACATTCCCGTAAAACTTTATGATGTTCGACTGAGGAATGTATCGAAGTGGTTCATGCATTCCCACCAATTACCCACCGTAAAAAAGTAAAAAAGAGAACGAACAGATCACCACAAGGGTGATTTGGAGAAGTCTGGAGAAGTCTCTTTCCGGAGAGGTCTCGCCTTCAGGTATAACAATTCACTCTATGGTTGGCGGAAGTCTATTCATCCGCTGAGCAGCTATGAATCATGGGGTTTGAAACAAACGTAACTAAAAATGCTTGGATGGAGCCATAGGAAGACCAGCGCCTCGGACGAAGGAAATGACAAATGACAATGATTTTTACACACAGCGGATTCAAACTCGGGTTCTTGTGCAAAGGGCAAGCAGTTAATTAAACACACCATATTCATGTAAGCCCCAATCGAACTGGACAGATTGTTGAAAGGACAAATTCCCAAACGTTCGAATAATTGGATGACATTGGAAGGTTGCAACGCCTTCTCATAGGCATGGGTCAAAACCGGTGCGGCGTTGTTCCTCATCAAAGGTTGGTTGGGATTTTGTTCGAAGAATCGATCCAGTCGCTTCTGAAAATAAACCTGGGAAAATAAAATCAGGATAAAGAGTTAGGCCGGTTCATTGAACAGCGATGTAATACACTGAATGAAATGGGCGGCGTAGCTCTTCTCCGAAGTATTCAGTGGAATGCATCAGCACGAAAATTTCCAGAGAAAACAGACTGCATTGCCGAGTATATTGTTACGCGGGCTATCCACAGCCTGTAGTTGACTCACGGTCAGACGCAGGCACGTACTAGCTAAGCAGAATACCGACCAATCAGAATCAAGCGTTTTGGCTCGGCGCTTCCCGTCCTCATGCAGAAAATTTAGTGATGAGCTGCGTCAAAACAGTAATAAAGGTCTCGCTTTGTCCCACGCCATCTCGGGTTGCTGCGCATTCTGGTCTATGCTAATGAGTGGTATACGTGTCAGCGACAAGCACAGGAGTTGATCAAGCACAGCTGCTTCCGACAGCGTTAAACGGAAACGATGGAATCTTCTTTGAGACGGCGATCACGCAATTCGATCTACGGTGTAACTACTTCTGCACAGCAAAAATTAGTTGCTAATAGGCGAAGTTACTGATAAACAAACAGACATTTTATGACTATACCATACTCACTCAACGACTGCACATAGCACAAGAATGCATTTTGTTGGTAATGTGGTGAAATATTGGTACCTCGAGTGAGTTTATTGGCTGTTGATCAGGTGTCTGTTGATCTGTTCGCCGAGCTTGGCGATTGGCTTGCAAACGTTTCGTCACCACACGAGGAGACATCATCAGTGCGCAGTTGGGTGGGTACTTCTTCCTTGCCTGCGAGTGTTTATATAGCAGTCGAAGACTATCTGTTATCTTCTGACGTGATTGGCTACTCGAAGTGTAGCGAATTTAGTGACTCTATTGGTCCGTTTGTGATCTTTGTCGCGTTGTGATGTGTTCCTTCGTGTTGATTGGTCATCCCAACGCCTTTTAATTTAGTAGCTTGTTCCCTTTGGCGACAAACAGTATGTAGGACGAACAGGAAGAAAGCCCTCCACCAGAATACATGAACACAAACTCGTCGATAAAATACACGATCAATTCTCCCTCACCTCCGCACACAAAGATCAAGAAGGACACGAGTTCGACTGGACCGGCGTTCGCATACTGGCTCAAGCAAGAACAAAAAGAGAACGCGAATTTATGGAAGCGCGGTACTCCACCGAAGAAGCCATCAACAAACACATCGAAATTGATCCCATTTACCAGCCACTGAGAGCGAGAGAACGCCAGAACCACAGAGCTTAGAGCTGCAAAAGCGACCAGACGAGGAACTCATAGGAGAAGCAGGAAAGCATCATTCAAACGGATTGGAGGAGGCGCCCAACCAAAGCACCAGACCAACCGGCGGACACAAGGACACTAACCGCCACGGTGGAGGAAACAGGGCGGTACAAACGACCAATAAAACCTGAGAACGGCAGACCACAACGCAATGCGAATCAACGCCGGAGAGAACAAGCTGATAAAACTAGAAGGCGTTGGGACAACCAATCAACAAAAAGGAACACAGATCACAACGCGACAAAGATCACAAACGGACCAATAAGGTCACTAAATTCGTTACACGTCGAGTAGCCAATCACGTCAGAAGATAACAGATAGTCTTCGACTGCTATATAAACACTCGCAGGCAAGGAAGAAGTACCCACCCAACTGCGCACTGATGATGTCTCCTCGTGTGGTGACGAAACGTTTGCAAGCCAATCGCCAAGCTCGGCGAACAGATCAACAACCACCTGATCAACAACCAATAATGCATTTTGTGTTATAATTTCAACGCCCATGTGGTGACTAAGCCTTCTCATTGATATTCATACCCCAGGTTGAAAATGTACACTTACCTAAGGTTTCTTCGACAAATGGGTCAATAGCAAAGTTCTGCAACAGTCGGTGGAATGATTGCCTAGTGGCGAAATAATCCACGTCAAAAGCTTTGGAGTGTGGAGAAGCATATCCTTGGCTCCCCGTTTGCAACACGGAAAGCAACAGCAGCACCCAAAAATGGTTTATTAGCAGCATTTTTTCGGTGCCTAACTACCATGGCACCCAAACGAAGCACGAGGGCTGGGATACTGCCAGGTTGCCTAAGCCTAGACAGGGGAAGTCGAGAGTTAGAGGGCGGGTTGGAACCCCGGACCTTCCGGTCAGTAAATTTGAGCTCTAACCACTAAATCATCTCGTCCTAATGAGCGCCTGAACCTCACCAGAAAGGATTTCATTGGGTCCCTTCAACCCACTTGCTGCCTTACGGTGGACACAACAGAAACGAAGGCACCAGTTCCAGTTGCATCATATCTTCTATCAGTGGCTACTTACGGGAAATGAAGGGACACGTCAAATGATGTCCAAAAACTTTCTACTTACATACAAAGAGACATCCTACTTGATCCGTCGGTTGCAAAGACACCCGGCCGCGCGTTTGAATTCCGGATGTTCGTTGTAACAGAGGTTGGCTCGTGCTTGTGTTATTCTATTTCGATACTGACCAAACGATCAGCTTCAGGGTGAAGAAAACTTGCACATGAAGCAATTGATGGAGAGTGTATAGCAGTTGAGTGTGGAGCTGGATACAGTTCTCTACCGCAGTGACACTGCCCTTTGAACTCTTGGAAATTGATACCCAGCAAAGGCTTTGTAACTAAATTAAGCTGTAGCGACTCACTCCATGAATAGGTTTGGTGGGGAAATGAGGTCCGTGACGAAACTTCGACGGATGACCGGAACAACTTTCGCAGACCAGGAATGTGAATCCTTCGCAGTCGTTTATCAACGATTTCAAGGGACACAATCAATTTTTGGAAATACTCGGCATGTGGCCGTTGAAGACGATAAAAAGAGACCATGGGTGAGCGTCAGGTCCTCGAAAATCTTCTTTCCGGGAACGCAGCACTCACCAGGCACCGGACGCAGCTCAATTACACCAACCACTTTGTAACAGAGGTTGGCTCGTGCTTGTGTTATTCTATTTCGATACTGACCAAACGATCAGCTTCAGGGTGAAGAAAACTTGCACATGAAGCAATTGATGGAGAGTGTATAGCAGTTGAGTGTGGAGCTGGATACAGTTCTCTACCGCAGTGACACTGCCCTTGGAACTCTTGGAAATTGATACCCAGCAAAGGCTTTGTAACTAAATTAAGCTGTAGCGACGCAACCCATCAGCTTCACCCATTCACTTTCGATGAACAATACAGGAAACATATACTTCGATTCACCCAATCGCGAACTAACGTCCACATGATAGGTGACTAGGCGCTTGCAAGCAAATTGCCAAGCTTGGCGAACACATCAGTGGCCACCTGATCTACAACCAACTGACGCATTCGAGATACCGAAATTGCGATATGCTGCTAAACAATTTCATCCCCAACTGGTGATGTCCGTATCCATGAAACGCCATGTTTTTAACCAGTATAGATAGATGGTTAAACCATTGTCAATTACGGCACCGCATGCAGGAACTTTTCTCCAACTTTATCCCCTAATGAGACTTGCAACCTTTTTGGCATTATTTCGGTCACTTGGCACAACTAACTGCATCATTTCTAACGAAAAGGCGTTGTTAAAATAATAATTTCTCAACCTTGAGCACCATGGCGATCCAGAAGAACCAACATCATACGCCAGAACAAGGAGGCAACAGCAAGAAATCCCAACCAGCCCAGTGTTTTGATGTCAGTGATTGGTGGCAACAAACAGGAATATTCTTAGAGCTGACTCAGTCATCTTCGGGAGAAAGCTGTCGTGAAAGTAAAAGTAAGGTCCAATGCGATAGAAACTTCAGCTTCGGGGTCACCACAGTAGCTCGCCTTCTGTTTACAGCTCCGCTGCCCTTTCAGTTTATTCAGCCGTCCCTTCACAAAAACAAATTTTAGACCTTTTGTATTTGGTTATTATTGTATGTTGCCGCTTGATAACCGCGGTATTCACAGGGCGGACGGAACACAACTAGTTCTCACTATACAACCACCACCAGCACCGATAATCTTTTTTATCCAAAATACATTGAAGAAACACAGGGTTCTTGGGATCTGTCTTCTAGCTATTGCGGAAATGACCACAGAAAACTATGCAGGATTCATACAATCACTTACTTGGAAAGCCCAGAAACAAGTGTTTTCCACACAGTGGTTGTAGGCTGGATGTGGCGGCAGGGGAAAAAGGAATACGTCATCTTCGCGTGCACGTTCTAGAACACGAACACTGACAAACTGAAGGTGCCCATCGTAGAATAACACCAGGGGACGGACGTGAACCAGCAAGCGGAAGTGTTTCAGGAACCACTGAATGAAGGCGTCAGAATTGACCCAACCGGAGGAGGAATAGGAAAACTTAGTCCCGCGCACCGCACCCTCCATCATCGACGCTGAAACCACAGAGAAATGGAAAAACAACCATGCAGCGGTGCTGAAAGCATGCCCCCCGAAAAAATATTGTACACGCTACTACGTCTTGGGATGTGAATAGAGCTGTAGGTCAACTCAACACAATCTCACACAGCGGGCAAGCATCCCGTTGCAACACGAAACCTTACGCTCGACCCGCGTTTCGATTACATCTTCCGAGCTGACTCACGGTGAGAACAACTGAAGGATAGTGGTCTAAGAAAAGCTTAACCCAGTTAGTTCATTGTATCAGAGGATAGGAATGGAGGATGTCCCGACAAGATGAATGTTCAAATGAAAATGATGTGAATGCGAAGTATACCACCTACGACTAAAAGTTTGATTGTTTTAGTCCAATGAACACAAAGAGAGGCTTAACATCCGTCGTAAACGCAGTTTGAGGGACACGGAACATCAGTGCAGTCATCGCGGGTGGTACATGGAAACGAGTGTTCAGTGGTGACCGGTTTGTCGCACGAGCTTACTTGCCATTCGCGACACCTTACACAAGTCTGCAAGACAATAGAACTAATAGTGTACTGCTTGACGCATGCAAACGTTCTTTTTGTTATCTTAAGATCGTAAATTTTCGGTTAAGGGTAAATGGATTACCGAACTGTTCAGGAATCCTCGTTCCATTCAGATAGTCCGATAACTAATGTCGTGAATGGATAAAAAATAAATTAAGCTATTGTCATTTATCAAGCGATTTCAAGTTCGGTGTGGCCTTGTTCTACCAGCCTATTCAGATCATATGACTACTAGTGAATTATATTCTCACGGAGGGAGAGTATCTCGCCTCTCGTGCTTCCTTCTGGTGGCAAGGCGCCCAAGGACCGAAAAAAGTGTTACAGTTGAACGAATATTATTATTTGTTTATTTTCTCAAGGAGGAATTGATAAATTACCAAGTCATGGAAATGGAATTCGACGGAATTATCATAAAAAGTGTGGTCAGATTCCAGAAAACTCAACTGTGAGGTTCACAGATGGGTAGAGGTGCCAACTTCCATTGC